AGCAAGCGCTGCGTGCATATTATGTTTGCCGAATAGGTGCTGTTAGATTACAATATCATTTTTCGGACCATTTTGGAACAATGTAAACAACACTAAATAAATAAGCGTACCAGAGAGTCTGTAAAAAAAAATTGTAAAGCCTTTATTACAGCAAAGACTAAAAACAGTCTCATTCATTCGTGAATGCAATTTCCGAAATGGAACGGGTTTATTTGTTTATGCAAATTAATCAAGGGTCACTTTATTTTAAAACTAAAATGCTTGATTGCATTTCAAATCATGAATTACTCGTATGCAGTGTGATGACATGAACGAATGAATGATTGATTCATACAGTAGCCTATATAACTATTGAAATATACAGTGCATTTGGAAAGTATTCAGACCCCTTCACTTTTTCCAAATTTTGTTACGTTACAGCCTATACAAAATACCCCATAATGACAATGTGAAAACAGGTTTTTAGATTTTTTTGCAAATGTATTAGCGGCGGCAGGTAGCTTAGTGATTAAGAGCGTTGTGCCAGTAACCGAAAGGTCGCTGGTTCTAATCCCCGAGCCGACTAGGTGAAAAAATCTGTCGATGTGCCCTTGAGCAAGGCACTTAACCCTAATTGCTCCTGTAAGTCGCTCTGGATAAGAGCGTCTGCTAAATGACTAAAATGTAAATGTAAATAAAAACAGATACCTTATTTACATAAGTATTCAGACCCTTTGCTATGAGACTTGAAATAGAGCCCAGGTGCATCCTGTTTCCATTGATCATCCTTGAGATCTTTCTACAACTTGATTGGAATCCACCTGGGGTAAATTCAATTGATTAGACATGATTTGGAAAGGCACACACCTGTTTATATAAGGTCCCACAGTTGACAGTGCATGTCAGAGCAAAAACCAAGCCATGAGGTTGAAGGAATTGTCCGTAGAGCTTCGAGACTGGATTGGGTCGAGGCACAGATCTGGGGAAGTGTACCAAAAAAATGTCTGCAGCATTGATGTCCCCAAGAACACAGTGGCCTCCATCATTCTTAAATGGAAGAAGTTTGGAACCACCAAGACTCTTCCTAGAGCTGGCCGCCCAGCCAAACTGAGCAATCAGGGGAGAAAGGCCTTGGTCAGGGAGGTGACCGAGCTCCAGAGTTACTCTGTGGAAATGCGAGAACCTTCCAGAAGGACAACCATCTCTGCAGCACTCCAGGCCTTTATGGTAGAGTGGCCAGACAGAAGCCACTCCTCAGTAAAAGGCACATGACAGCCTGCTCGGAGTTTGCCAAAAGGAACCTAAAGGACTTTGACCATGAGAAACAAGATTCTCTGGTCTGCTGAAACCAAGATTGAACTATTTGGCCTGAATGCCAAGCATCACGTCTGGAGGAAACCTGGCACCATCCCTACGGTGAAGAATGGTGGTGGCAGCATCATGCTGCGGGGATGTTTTTCAGCTGCAGAAACTGGGAGACTAGTCAGGATCGAGGGACAGATGAACGGTGCGAAGTACAGAGAGATCCTTGATGAAAACAGGCTTCAGAGCGCTCAGGACCTCAGACTAGGGCGAAGGTTCACCTATTATTTTTCGGACAATTTGGGACAGTGTAAACAACACTAAATACATTATAAATAATACCAGAGAGGCTGTTCTAACAACAGAGAAAAAGCTGTAAAGCCTTTATTACAGCATAGCAAAGATTAAAAACAGTCGAATTTGAAATAGTTTATCTGATGTGGTTGCATGAGGCTTGGTGCTCACGGAATCAGTAGATTATTAAACAAACACTCAAACAGGCAACAGATGCAGGATCTGTGTTATTTCTGTAGATATACAGTATATGGATGATTTATAAAGACAGGCACATTTTAACAGTTAGGCTATAGATTATAGACCTAATTAAGTTGTTTTCGTCCTCACTTAGACAATTAAGGCAAGGGCTGTTTTCTCGTCTCCTCACTCCGCTGCTGCCTCCGCTGCATTGTTCTCAACACCAATATGCTACTTAACTTTGCTATTATGCTAATAGCAACAGGGTCTAGGAAAAAACGGCAATTCAAAGCGCACTGATGTTTCAGAAACGCAGCCAGCGACCGCTATCCAACGCGGGAGAAAGCGCATTTGTTATAAAATAATATTTGTATTGGTGTTGCACCGTTGTTCTTACGTAATAGTACCATATACAATTTCAGTAGCACACGTCTTAGAGCAGGGATCATCAACTACATTCAGCCGCGGGTAGTTGTAATTTTTTTCTTAAGCGGGTGGTCGGGTGGGTGGAACATAATTACAAATAATTTGTAGATGGCAAATTGACCGCAAGAATCCCAAACATATATAATATTTGACTAAACCATAATCATTTAAAACCTTGCTTACATTTGTATACGATCACGTTTTTCTCTTATGTGTAGGAATACTTGAAAAGATTTCTTAAATAAAAATCTTGGGGGGCCAAATAAAACCACCCTCGTGCAGGCTGGCAGTTGGGGATCCCAGTCTTAGTGTGATGGACTGTGCCATCATCACGGCCTCCACAATGGATTAGTCCACTCAGACAGGCGCAAATCAGACCGGTGTCTTGTACACCATGAATTGTTATTTTTTTTTGCTACTGCTCGACTAAAGACATCTCGGTCGACAAACAGCCTATCGACCAAACAATCGACCAGTCGACTAAATGGGGTCAGCCCTAGCAGCGGTTATAGTATGAAGGTTTGTATTGGATTTTTTTTCGCCTGGTCACAGACAGCTGTTGTGTTGTGCGCTGAAGTCCACAAGCGAAGGGAAAAGGTGAGAGGAGGAGAGCGTGTAGATGCGAGTACAGTGCCTTCGGAAAGTATTCAGACCACTAGACATTTTCCAAATGTTGTTACGTTACTGCCTTATTCTAAAATGTGTTAAATAGTTTTTTTCCTCCCTCATCGATCTACACACACTACCCTATAATGACAAAGCAAAAACTGTTTTTTATAAATTTTTGCAAATATATATATTAGAAAACAAAACTGAAATAACATTTACATAAGTATTCAGACCCTTTACTCAGTACTTTCTTTACTCAGTACTTTGTTGAAGCACCTTTGGCAGCGATTACAGCCTCGAGTCTTCTTGGGTATGGCGCTACAAGCTTGGCACACCTGTATTTGGGGAGTTTCTCCCATTCTTTGCAGATCCTCTCAAGCTCTGTCAGGTTGGATGGGGAGCGTCGCTGCACAGCTATTTTCAGGTCTCTCCAGAGATGTTCAAGCCTGGGCTGGCTGGGCCACTCAAGGACATTCAGAGACTTGTCCCGAAGCCACTCCTGCGTTGTCTTGGCTGTGTGCTTAGGATCGTTGTCCTGTTGAAAGGTGAACCTTCACCCCAGTCTGTGGTCCTGAGTGCTCTGGAGCAGGTTTTCATCAAGGATCTCTCTGTACTTTGCTCCGTTCATCTTTCCCTCGATCCTGACTAGTCTCCCAGCCACCACCATGCTTGGTTGGTGGAGTGCTGCAGAGATGGTTGTCCTTCTGGAAGGTTCTCCCATCTCCACAGAGGAACTCTAGAGCTCTGTCAGAGTGATCATCGGGTTCTTGGTCACCTCCCTGACCAAGGCCCTTCTCCCCCGATAGCTCTAGGAAGAGTCTTGGTGGTTCCAAACTTCTTCCATTTAAGAATGATGGAGGCCACTGTGTTCTTGGGAACATTCATGTTTTTGGTACCCTTCCCCAGATCTGTGCGTCGACACAATCCTGTCTCTGAGCTCTACGGACAATTCCTTCGACCTCATGGCTTGGTTTTTGCTCTGACATGCACTGTCAACTGTGGGACCTTATATAGACTGGTGTGTGCCTTTCCAAATCATGTCCATTTACCACAGGTGGACTCCAATCAAGTTGTAGAAAAATCTCAAGGATGATCAATGGAAACAGGATGCACCTGAGCTTAATTTCAAGTCTCATAGCAAAGGGTCTGAATACTTATGTAAATAAGGTATTTCTGTTTTTTTATTTTTAATAAATTTGCACACAAAAAAATAACCGGTGTTCGCTTTGTCATTTTGGGGTATTGTGTGTAGATTGATGGGGGGGGGGGACAATTTAATCAATTTTAGAATAAGGCTGTCAATTAACAACATTTGGAAAAAGTCAAGGGGTCTGAAAACTTTCCGAATGCACTGTATAGTTGACTTTATTAAAACAGGGTGTGTCTATATATGGAAAAACACATGTAAAATAGACGACTCTCGGTCGACCAAGATTCGGGGACAGCCCTAACTTACTGCTATAAGTGTATACGTGACGGCGAGCTTCATAGGGCTATGCATGACCAAAACAGACACCAATCTGTCAAACCACAAACGATAGTATGTGCGTGCAGCGAGTCAGTTTACTTGTTGCAGCAATCAAGGATTATGTGTGGGGTAGCGCAGTGGTCTAAGGCAGTGCTAGCTGTGCCACTAGAGATCCTGGTTCGTGTCCAGGATCTGTCGCAGCCGGCCACGACCGGGAGACCCATGGGCGGCGCACAATTCGTCCAGCGTCGTCCAAGGTAGGGGAGGGTTTGGCCGGCAGGGATGTGGGTTCGTTTCCCACGGGGGGCCAGTATGAAAAAAAAAAAAAAAAAAAACGAAACAAACTAAAAAACATGTATGCACTCAATAACTGTAAGTCGCTCTGGATAAGAGCGTCTGCTAAATGACTAAAATGTAAATGTAATGTAAGGTAATGATGGCTAGATAAACAGAATTAATCACAATGCTTTGGGCAATAACACATAAATTATTTGCTATTGGCCACTAGATTGTCTGCAAGAATAAGATTTAAATCTGATCTTTATTTTAGACATTTTACAATGTAGATTTATGGCTTTTGGGATTACATGAAGTTGACTATCCAGCTATCATAATGTCTTAGATTCAATCACTGGGCATATCTTGGTTAATCAACCATGCTGTATTGGCCATACAATTGTCTGATTGGAATCTGACCCAGGTACCACTCTTGTCCTCTCTGCTCCCTGTACTGGTCCCTCAGCCCATGTGATGTCATCTGTTCCGGCTGATCCAAAAGGTAGTCAGCAGATACCCAGCACCATGTCGGTGGGTCTGGTGGGTCCATGCCCCCCTCTCTCCCAGCTGTACCATGAACAACTGGCCACAGGGTGTAGAGAGACTAGCAAGGTCCAGAAAACTGCTGCGGCGGGTGGAGGACCTCTGGTGACAATGACCATGTCTCTCAGACCAGCAGAGAGCAAAGCTATAGATGGTAATCTTGGGAGGTACTCTGATGGGAGAGAGCAACAGATCCTGGTGGAGCACAGGCAGAGCGCTTTGGGCTCAGTCGCCAGTCTGAGAGGTCATGTCTGTGGGACTGCTGGCGCTGCCGACTTCAGAAGAACAGAGAGACAAGTGTCAGACCAGGTGTGGAATGTGTGTCTTGTTCTTAGTGTATGCTTATGTTTCTGCATGTGTGTCCCATGTCTGTGTCTTGTGTAAACTTGTGTGTTGTCATTTTCAGATCCAAGGCATTCAAAGACCTGGCAACAAAGGCAATGTCTGGGTTCATCCAAAACAACTAGGTAATGTACCATTGTTGATATCAGTCTGTTGCAGAGAAACAGCAGTGATGACACTAAATAGTACAGACATCAGATGAGTCATGGAGGCGAACCAGTGAATCTAACAATTTCATTTGAATACTGCCAACGTTTTAGAGATGCAGTTCACATTTTGTCTTTAGCCACCATGCGAAATCTCAAACAGTGCGACCTAATCCTTCAGCTACCCAAACCAAACAGCCTACCTCCCCAGTCCCCACGCAGCCTCTCCCCTATCTTTGACTGTGTGTTGTGTACACAGATTCTACCTCCAGAGGCCCAGCCGGGGCCTCGCCTCCGCCTCAAGCCTGCCCCCCTGGCCCTGCTCCCCCGGCCGGCCCCACAAGCGAGCAGCTGGGCACCCTGGAGTGCTGTCTGGCACGCCACCAGGCAGAGATGAAGTGGCTGTTGACGGGTACCCTGGGCTCCCTGTGCCAGCGGCTACAGGTGGTGGAGAGGAGGATGGAGGAGCTCTGTGAGCAGGGAACCACACACGGCAACAGCCTGGTCCTGCTCAACACCCAGGTGGGCCAGCTGGCAAGAGGGATGACTGCCACCACCAAACAGGACTTGTCACCTCTCCATGGTCTGGGTGAGTTGAGGCTGACGCACTAAATATTAGAAGGCACCACACTAAAACATGTTACATTTTATTAAGTAATTTTTAAAAGCAGAAAAATTGAATGTTTTTAAGATGAGTGTGGATCATATCGATCGTTCGTTAAGTCACACTGAGAGGTTGTGAAAGGTTGTTGTCTGTGTACTAGAGGCTGCAGTGTTTAAGTACTTGATTGAAGATCATTTTGTTGGTGAGTAATGTTTTGGTTTCTTGTGTTGATCCAGGAAAGGAACCAAGAGTGCTGAAAGAAGAAAAGTTGGACTTCACCAAGCTGTTACCACACGCTCCAAACCCTTCATGCAATATGGGCTGCTCTGGAACAGACAAGGTTAGCCTCACTGGATGTCAATGGAGGATGGCGACAACATTTTCACCTAGCCACAGTCCGTCCCGGCGCGGTGACCACAAAGAGGGATTAGGTGGGGAAATGGAAAGGACAGAGTCAGGACACTCTGTATCCTCTGTCGGAAAAGAGGCGGTCACAGAGGGGTGCATACAGGGAAACTACTCCCCTGTGTCGGACTTTGAGGATCTGGACATGGAGCTGGCTGGCGAGAAGGGGCAGGACGCTGCCACCTTGTTGGTCAATTCTGCCCTGGTGGATACAGAGTCTAGTGACAGCCAGGAAGTGCCCCTTCCATCCACTTCTCGGAAGTCACAATCTGGGGCGTCCTGCCCCTTCTCGCCAGCCAGCTCCATGGAGACACATCCACGCTCTCCTCATATACACGTCCTCACTCAATCCCAAGGCCAGTCCAAAAGCACTGAGGTCCCAACGTGTCCAATTCCAGGTAAGGGTAGGACTATGGCTGCATTTTCTGAGATGGTCCATTTGAGCCCTATAGGAGCTTGCTCTCTGTTGCCACATTCTGTTAAAGTCGTAGGGTCATCTAGGTCTGAGCAAACGGGCATAATAGCTCCTGCTCCAACTGATTTCCAGCTAAGGATCACCAGCCCACCTCGCACTGACCACATGGCCTACACTCAGTCCTCAAAAGAAGCAGAGAAAGACCGGAAGCATGAGAGGAAGAGGCGGAACAAGAGGGAAGCGAAGGCACACTCGGTTGGTAAGTTTGACTCCACTGCCGCCATGTCCATCAAGGGTAGCTTCTCCGCCCAAATACAGGACCAACTGCAAGTTGGTGTGGGCAGGGAGACAGCCGAGGAGAGGCAGCAGAGTCAACAACACGAGAGGTTTGTGGAGAGTATAAGGGTGTCGTATGCCGGACAAGAAAATCAGACTCTGAGATTAACCTTACCTCCTAATCAGCAACACTCTCCATTGTGCCATGCCCAGTTTAAATCTCCAGACAGAGTATCATCACCATCAGGTTCAGTCTTTGCACCGTATTCCCGGTGCCCTCTGCCCTCTCCACCCATGTCTGGCTACGTGGACCCTCAGAAGGGCAAACAAGTCTCAGACCGATCCCGCCTGCCCTTCCACCCTACCAGCCCCTCTCTGGACACCTCCCTGGCCTCCAAGTTTTCCTCTCCCCGAAATGGCTCTTCTAAATCTCTCATCGTTGGTGTTCGATCCACCCACCACGAGGGCCAGTCCCTCCTGCTCCAGCTGTCGGACACAGCCAACCACCTCATAGCCGCCAGCCCCTCCCCGGAGCTCCCCTCACCCCCGGATGGTGGTCAAAGCAGACGGGGGAACCTCCCGCACTTCTTCAACTTCAAGCTCAAGCACCACTGGGATAAGGACCGGCTCTCCTGTAAGAAGCGGCCGCTAAAAGGCATCAGCAGCACTGGTGGCGCTCTAGCCATGACTCTCCCGGAGCTGCAGGAGGAGATGTCGCAGCACCACTGGCAGCCACTGGTGATTCTGGGCAGCTCAGTCTTGCTTCCGTCCCCCCTGCAGCTGGGGCCCCTAGCCCAGACCTTCTCGCGCTGCTGCAGCAAACCCCTGAACGGAGACCCCTCCACTCTGCAGCGGGGTCTCTCCCGCCTTCTCCGCGCCACAGGCCAGTTCCCCATGTCCCTCTTCAGCCAGATGGGCTTCTCGAAGTTCTCCAAGTGGGGTCTGAGCACTGTGCTGGCTGCCTCCTCCCCCGCCTCCTTCCGCCACTGGTTCAGACACAAGCACCCCGCGCCCCTCATGAGACTGTCGGCCACGGAGAAGACTGTGGTGTGTCAGATCATGGAGTCGCGGAAGAAGTACATGCATCTTCCCCTGCTGCCCCTCAAGGACTACACTGGCCCTCCTGGCCTGGGCAATGACAACAGGTCAGTCTGTAACGTGATATTGACTTGTGAAAATGGCTTGATGCTCTTTGAGATAATGAGGGATTTAGAGGTAACATTTGAAGAAACTCATCTGATTTCTTGTTTGTATTTGTAGTTATGCTCGACCCTGTAGTCAAGATACTTCCTCTAGCAGGAATTCTACCGCAGAAAGGTGATCAGCACATGCAACAAGCCACTCAGTATGATGAATGTTTTGTGTTGTCTAGACATGGCACAGTATCCATAAAATGCGGATCCACCACACAATGTAATAACGGATTGGATTAAATATCAATGTGGCCAGACTACTCTAAGTGTACAAAACATTAGGAATGCCTGCTCTTTCCATGACACATACTGACCAGGTGAAAGCTATGATCCCTTATTGATGTCACCTGTTAAATCTGCTTCAATCAGTGTAGATAAGGGGGAGGAGACGGGTTGATGAAGGATTTTTAAGCCTTGAGACAATTGCGACATGGATTGTGTATGTGTGCCATTCAGAGGGTGAATGGGCACGGCAAAATATTTGTGTCTTTGAACGGGGTATGGTAGTAGATGCCAGGTGCACCGGTTTGTGTCAAGAACTGCAACGCTGCTGGGTTTTTCATGCTCAACAGTTTCCCATGTGTATCAAGAATGGTCCACCACCCAAAGGACATCCAGCCAACTTGACACAAAGGGGGGGGTGCAACTCAATATTAAGGTGTTTTTAATGTTTTGTACACTCAGTGTACATTGCATCCTTTACTGCTTTTGTCAGTGGCTTCTCAAATATAAACACAATGTTGTAATCATAGCTACGGGAAGATCTGTGGGGGTGTGACGACTCTTTCGCCGACGGGGGTGGGGGGGGGGCAGATATATTTTTTGCCCACACTACAGACGGCTATATCGGTCCGCTAATACAGAACTCGTAAAAGCCCTTTTTTGTAATTATTATTTTGTTCCATTTTGTATTATTTTTTGTAATTACGATTGTTTGCTAATTCCAATTTTTCAGGAGGTGCTTCAGCACCCCTACTTCCCGCAGCTGTGATTGTAATGGTGCACAACCTATGCATTTTATCGAAAATCCTTTTTCCAACAGTTGAACTGTTTTTCTCCTTCCTGTCCTGCCACAGCAGCACAACTCTCACCTCTCCACCTACACGACGAGGTAGGGTCAGACTCACCCCAGAGCGTGCCCTTTCCAACCCCAGAACCAGCCATGGGCACAGCCCCAAGACCATGTGTCTGGATAACCAGCCTGAGCCTGTACCCAGTCTTGCCATCGCTAGTGCCAATGTCAAATATCCCAGTCTGCATGGTCATGGCTGCAGCTCATCCAGAGAGGTGAGCCTGCCATATACAGTAACTGTACACGTCATACACTATACTCTTAGACTGGGCTTTGTTTGATTGTACTATACAGAGCCTTCTACTGTATATAGGTGTGGCTCTGATGCTGTACAATCCTTACAATTTATTGGGACCATGCTTAACAAACATTCCAGCAGATTTTAGCAATTTAGCAACTTCTCAGTTGCAGTCTCTGCAGTCTTGGTCCTAAGGGGGCTAATGAATGTTGTGTGACAATGGAAACAGCATTTTGGTGTTGACTAATGAGTGCTCATTTTCTCCACGGAGAGACTTAAGGGTCTTTTATTCCCTTTGAGCATCATTATATTTCAAAGAAGCACCTCTTCTCTTGTTTGATCACAAACTCTTGCAATCCAGCTAGTTTTACCTCTCCCATGTGGCTTATTTGCGATATTAAAATACGAATATTTTATGGTTCTGTGACCTTGTTCACTTTTTCTTTCTTTCTGTGGTTCTGCAGGGAGGTCTGTATGAGGCGGATGTGGGAGCCCAGCCAGGCCAGCGCTCCAAGAGGGTATCCCAGATCCGCATTCGGAAGACTGTTCCCAAACCAGACAACAACCTCACTCCCATGGGCCTGCCCAAACCAAAGAGGTGAGGAAGAACCAGTAACTAACGAAACAATGGGATTATTGATATGTACAGCGCATTCGGAAAGTATTCAGACCCCTTGACTTTTTCCACATTTTGTTACGTTACAGCCTTATTCTAAAATTGATTAAATTGTTTTTTTCCCCTCATCAATCTACACACAATACCCCATAATGACAAAGCAAAAACAGGTTTTTAGAAGATTTAGCAAATGTATTAAAAATAAAACTGAAATGTCACATTTACATAAATATTCAGACCTTTTACTCAGTACTTTGTTGAAGCACCTTTGGCAGCGATTACAGCCTTGAGTCTTCTTGGGTATGACGCTACAAGCTTGGCACACCTGTATTTGGGGAGTTTCTCCCATTCTTCTTTGCAGATCCTCTCAAGCTCTGTCAGGTTGGATGATGAGCGTCGCTGCACAGCTATCTTCAGGTCTCGCGAGAGATGTTAAATCGGGTTCAAGTCCGGGCTCTGGCTGGTCCACTCAAGGACATTCAGAGACTTGTCCCGAAGCCACTCCTGCGTTGTATTGGCTGTGTGCTTAGGGTCGTTGTCCTGTTGGAAGGTGAATCTTCGCCCCAGTCTGAGGTCCTGAGCGCTCTGGAGCAGGTTTTCATCAAGGATCTCTGTACTTTGTTCCGTTCATCTTTGCCTCGATCCTGACTAGTCCCCCAGTCCCTGCCTCTGAAAAACATCCCCACAGCATGATGCTGCCACCACCATGCTTCACCGTAGGGATGGTGCCAGGTTTCCTCCAGATGTGACTCTTGGCATTCAGGCCAAAGAGTTCAATCTTGGTTTCATCAGACCAGAGAATCTTGTTTCTCATGGTCTGAGAGTCTTTTTAGGTGCCTTTTGGCAAACTCCAAGCGGGCTGTCATGTACCTTTTTATTGAGGAGTGGCTTCCGTCTGGCCACTACCATAAAGGGCTGATTGGTGGAGTGCTGCAGAGATGGTTGTCCTTCTGGAAGGTTCTCCCATCTCCACAGAGGAACTTTGGAGCTCTGTCAGAGTGACCATCGGGTTCTTGGTCACCTCCCTGACCAAGGCCCTTCTCCCCCGATTGCTCAGTTTGGCCGGGGGGCCAGCTCTAGGAAGAGTCTTGGTGGATCCAAACTTACTTCCATTTAAGAATGATGGAGGCCACTGTGTTCTTGGGGACCTTCAATGCTGCAGAAATGTTTTGGTACCCTTCCCCAGATCTGTGCCTTGACACAATCCTGTCTCGTAGCTCTGCGGACAATTCCTTCAACCTCATGGCTTGGTTTTTGCTCTGACATGCACCGTCAACTGTGGGACCTTATATAGACTGGTGTGTGCCTTTCCAAATCATGTCCAATCAATTGAATTTACCACCGGTGGACTCCAATCAAGTTGTAGAAACATCTCAAGGATGATCAATGGAAACAGGATGCACCTGAGCTCAGTTTCAAGTCTCATAGCAAAGGGTCTGAATACTTATGTAAATAAGGTATTTCTGTTTTTTATTTTTAATACATTTGCAAACATTTCTAAAAACCTGTTTTCCCTTTGTCATTATGGGGTATTGTGTGTAGGTTGCTGAGTATTTTTATTTATTTCATCAATTTTAGAATAAGGCTGTAACGTAACAAAATGTGGAAGAAGTCTGAGTACTTTCCGAAGGCACTGTAGGGTTTCGTGATCACACTGAGTGCCAATAGTAAATACTAAAGTCAAGCTGAAAGATGCTTGTCTGAACAGGGCCGTTATGTCGAACTAGTAGTTTGATCAACTATCCTCCTGTGTTTCACATGTTGTTTTTTTGTGTGTACATTGCATCAGGCTGAAGAAGAAGGAGTTCAGCTTGGAGGAGATTTACACCAACAAGAATTATAAATCACCCACTCCCAACAGGTCAGTCACCATCATTTTTATTATTCAAACTGTACCTTAAGTTGAAGAACATGATAACACACAGTATATTGAAACGCTTTGTTGTCAGTCAGTAGGCTGTTTTAAATGGGCATATCTACTGTAGTCTATACCTCCCATCGCTGCCCCAGAGATCTCCTCTTGCAGCCACCTTGGCTCATGATATTAGACCTAATGCTTGGCTTACTTTATACATACTTTATATATACACAGTGGCCACATACACTGAGTGTACCAAACATTAGGAACACATGTTTCAATTAGTCAAGGGCTTGGTGATAGTTGACTAATTGAATCAGGTGTGCCAGTTTAGGGATACAACACGTACACTGAGTGTACAAAACATTAGGAGCAGCTTCCTGACATTGAGTTTCACCCCCTTTTGCCCTCCGAACAGCCTCAATTTGTCTACAATGTGTCAAGCTTTCCACATGGATGCTGGCCCATGTAGACTCCAATGCTTCCCACAGTTGTGTCAAGTTGGCTAGATGTCCTTTGGGTGGTGGACCATTCTTCATACACATGGGAAACTGTTGAGCGTAAAAAACCCAACAACGTTGCAGTTCTTGACACACTCAAACCGGTGTGCCTGGAACTTACTTCCATACCCTGTTCAAAGGCACTTAAATATTTTGTCTTACCCATTCATCCTCTGAATGGCACACATACACAGTCCTTGTCTCAATTGTCTCAAGGCTTAAAAACCTTTAACAAATTACATCAATAAGGGATCATAGCTTTCACCTAGATTAACCTGGTCAGTCTGTCATGGAAATAGCAGGTGCTCCTAATGTTTTGTATGGCCCATATACTCTGCCAGTGCACTCACCCCTCTCTAAGGCAATGAAGAATCTCTCTCTTTCTCGGTCTTTGTCTCTCAAATTCTTTATCATATGGTTTATCTTTTCTTTAGTATATGGTTTATCATATTGTTTTCCCATACCAGGAGCCTAGAGACCATCTTCTTTATCATATTGTTTTCCCATACCAGGAGCCTAGAGACCATCTTCTTTATCATATTGTTTTCCCATACCAGGAGCCTAGAGACCATCTTCTTTATCATATTGTTTTCCCATACCAGGAGCCTAGAGACCATCTTCGAGGAGCCCAAGGAGAAGAATGGATCGCTGGTCTGCATCGGCCACCAGAAGAGGAAGCGCGTGCTGGACTTCCCAGACTTTACACTGCCGCGCAAACGTAAAGCCCGGGCCAACCTGCCGCCCCTGCGTGTGAAGGGCCCCAGGGGCAGGGGCCGGAGGGAGAGGCCCGACGATGCCGACCTGGACATTATGCTCATAGAGAGGCTGAGCGAGCTGGAGGACTTCTTCACCTGCCAAGGCCTGGAGGACTGAGCAGTCCCACAATAACCCCTCCTTCACATCCAAATACACAGGCTGTGTCCCAAATGGCACCCTATTCAGCATATAGTGCTCTACTTTTGACCCAAGCCCACCCGGTCAAAAGTAGTACATTATATAGGGTGTCATTTGTGACATGCATTGCACAGTTGCTCATTCTCTGTTTTTGGAGAGTTTTGTTTTGTAAATGCATTGGGATTATGAAACAGGATTCTGTTTTAAATTTATTAGTTAGTGTGTACAGAGATTTTTTTATGATCGTGTTAAGTTTTGTTACGTAGGGGCACTTGAAATGCCCAGCCATTCAGATTACTTGTTTTATAACTGCTAGCATTTGAATTGCTAGAAAGAGAAACTTAAAGCTGAGATCCGCGATAGGCAAACAGCGCCACTGGCCACCCCAGGCGCATTTGTTTTTGTTTTGAGGAAATTAGCATTCAGCATAGTTAAAAAATAAAAGAATAGAACATACTCTGCTGTTCTACCGTGCATGCAATGATGTCCGGGGGAGACAAAGCAGTGTTCGTTGTTTGAAGTAAAGTCTTTGTTGTTGAAATATCGCAAACGGATGTGGCAGCTTCACCGCTATGGATTCCAGCTTTAATGCGTGCCTTTGTGGAAATGTAAACTAAATCCAGCAAAGATATGATTTTGATGATAGACAGTGAATAGTGGTTGAAGGATATTTTCTTCTTAGGAACTATAATTGAAACTGATAACTGAGAACATTGATACCTAAATGTGTGCGTTCGTTCACACACATGCACTCACGTGTAGACTACACAAGCACATGGACGACAAGTTCACCAACCCATACCTGAGCACTTTCCTTCTTACCTTGTTCAGACCATGTGACCTGTACTGGAAAAACTTTGGGCTCTAGTTAAGGCCCAGAATCTTTCTTAAAAGTATTGTCCCTAACCATTTTCCATTGGATGGGGGTGTTTGAGGATTACAAGTCATGTGCACTAAGGGGTCTGTGCTTCTAGAACAGTGAGTGCGTGCCTGTAGTTATTTTCCTAATTCCTATTGCTGCTACACCCCCTACCTAGTATATTGCTAAATTATATTATAGATGTTGTCTTAAAGTTCAGAACAGAAGTTTAATTTTTTTAAACACATGATCCATAGTCATAAACAGTGCATTCGGAAAGTATTCAGACCCCTTCCCTTTTTCCATATTTTGTTACGTTACAGCCTTATTCTAAAATGGATGAAATAAAAATGTTTCCTCATCAATGTACACACAATACCCCATAATGACAAAGTGAAAACAGGTTTTTAGACATTTTTGCAAAATAAAAACAAATAAAATGAAATACCGTATTTACATAAGTATTCAGACCCTTTGCTATGAGACTCGAAATTGAGCTCGGGTACATCCTGTTTCCATTGATCATCCTTGATGTTTCTACAACTTGATTGGAGTCCACCTGTCGTTAATTCAATTGATTGGACATGATTTGGAAAGGCACACCACCTGTCTATATAAGGTCCCACAGTTGACAGTGCAAAAACCAAGCCATGAGGTCGAAGGAATTGTCTGTAGAGCTCCGAGACAGGATTGGGGAAGGATACCAAAACATTTCTGCAGCCTTGAAGGTCCCCAAGAACACAGTGGCCTCCATCATTCTTAAATGGAAGAAGGTTGGAACCACCAAGACTTCCTAGAGCTGGCCGCCCGGCCAAACTGAGCAATCGGGGGAGAAGGGCCTTGGTCAGGGAAGTGACCAAGAACCCGATGGTCACTCTGACAGAGCTCCAGAGTTCCTCTGTGGAGATGGGAGAACCTTCCAGAAGGACAACCATCTCTACAGCACTCCACAAATTAGGCCTTTATGGTAGAGTGGCCAGACGGAAGCCACTCCTCGGTAAAAGACACATGACAGCCCGCTTGGAGTTTGCCAAAGGGCACCTAAAGGTCTCTCAGACCATGAGAAACAAGATTCTCTGGTCTGATGAAACCAAGATTGATATCTTTGGCCTGAATGCCAAGTGTCACGTCTGGAGGAAACCTGGCACCATCCCTACGGTGAAGCATGGTGGTGGCAGCATCCTGCTGTGGGGATGTTTTTCAGCGGCAGGGACTGGGAGACTAGTCAGGATCGAGGGAAAGATGAACGGAGCAAAGTACAGAGAGATCCTTGATGAAAACCTGCTCCAGAGCGCTCAGGACCTCAGACTAGGGTGAAGGTTCACCTTCCAACAGGACAACGACCCTAAGCACACAGCCAAGACAACGCAGGAGTGTCTTCGGGACAAGTCTCTGAATGTCCTTGAGTGGCCAGCCAGAGCCCGGACTTGAACCAGATCGAACATCTCTGGAGAGACCTGAAAATAGCTGTGCAGCGACGCTCCCCATCTAACCTGACAGAGAATGAGATGATCTGCAGAGAAGAATGGGAGAAACTCCCCAAATACAGGTGTGCCAAGCTTGTAGCATCATACCCAAGAAGACTCAAGGCTGTAGTCGCTGCCAAAGGTGCTTAAACAAAGTACAAGTAAAAGGGTCTGAATACTTATGTAAATGTAATATTTCCATTTATTTTATTTTATTTTATTTTATACATTTGCAAAAAACTTTTTTGCTTTGTCATTATGGGGTATTGTATGTAGATTAATAAGGGGGGGGGGGCGATTTAATCAATTTTAGAATAAGGCTGTAACATAACAAAATGTGGAAAAAGTCAAGGGGTCTGAATACTTTCCGAATGCATTGTAGCCACATCAATCAATGCCACTCAATTGGCCCGTCTTAAAACAGCATTTACCCATCTTCTCTGTGTATGTGCAGCAATCTGTCATGTTAAAAAAATGCCTTAGATTGGAAGACCTAGCCTGGTTGCCAGATCTGTTTTTACTTCAACCTATACTTCTAGCATTGTCATACGAAACAGTCTGGCCTTATTGAAATCTCATTTTCACACTGAATAATGACTGTCGAGATACATTTATGCTTTAGAATATCCTTATCTGGGAACCAGGCTATAAACTATTTGTTGTAGTGTTTGCTTACCACTTTGTGCATTTTTGTTATGAAACACTAATTTCAAGTGAATAATTTGTCTTTAACTGTGGTCAGTCATCATTACATATCAGACAGGTCAAGTGGAAACGTTCAGCTCAGCAGCCACACACATTGACATAATCCTCTTGAATTGTTCAGCACAAAATTTAAAAGTGTCATTGTCTGACAGTGATCTAATGGGGTTTGCATTTAACACCCAAGTATTCCACTGTTCAGACTGTTCAGGTTAGTTTTTTTCTTTTGTTATTCATTTTCTTTTGTAAGGTTACTTTCTAAGAGCCCTCATGTGGATTGCAATTATTGTTTATATACTTTTCCACTGCCCTGGACCTAATTTGGCAGTAGCTTTTCTTGTGTGGGGTCACTTATTGACCCACCTCCCCCCAAAGAGCCAGACCCTGTGAAGTGTTCTATTGCCCCTTCTCTCCCTCCCTCTGACCTCTGCTCTTGAGGCCAGAGACTGAATTGTAGAAACATTTGACAAAGTTGTTCTTTTAATTTAGCTGTAGCTGAGGATTCTTTATGTTTACACTGGTGTGTAGTGGAAGAAGTGACACACTTTGGGATCCCCTATATCTGTGAAAATAGAAATGTTATATTGCGTTTGTCATTAAATCCGTCCTATTCCTTATTTTATCCTCTGTTTAAAAGTGACCAACACTGAAGGTTAGTGTTGTCAATCATTGTAATATATATTTTATGAATAGAATATTGTTAAAATGTGTCATTTCTGAATTGGTTTGATGTGCTTAGAGCTGATTTACTTGTTTGGCTGAAACCATTGCTCATTTTGAGAAATCTAGAAGTGAGACCATTACACAATGTATTGTAAGCAGTCTATGCTTAGGTTTTGTTTACCTGGCTGCTGTTGTGGCACAAATCCAATGCAAATCAATGGTACCTATATTAGCATTTTCACGCGTCATGTCCACATCATCCTAAAGTATGTTAAATTGATTGTGTAACTCAATGAAGTGACAAATCATAGATTTGGACATGAGGTGTGAAAATGCTAATATAGGTACCATTGACTTTGATTTGATTTGTGCCACAAAGTTAAGCATTTAAAATAGTCACCAGGTAAACAAAACCAAAGCATTGTTTGCTGTCAAATCAAGTTTTATTGGTCGCGTACACATATTTTGCAGATGTTATCGCGGGTGTAGCGAAATGCTTATGTTCCTAGCTCCAACAGTGCAGTAATACCTAACAATACACGCAAATCCAAAAAATGTAATGTTGGAGTCTGGAATATATATGTATATGATGGTGTATATAGACCTTACGGACAGTACATTAATAGAAAAGGTGTGTACAGCAGTAGTTATATAGGATGAGCCTTGACTAGAATACAGTATATACATATGAAGTGGGTAAAACAGTATGTAAACATCATTAAAGTACCGGGTGGTAGCTGGCTAGTAACTAAAGTTCAGGGCAGGGTACTGGGTGGAGGCGGGCTAGTGGTGACTATTTTAACAGTCTGATCGCCTGGAGATGGAAGCTGTTTTTCAGTCTCTCGGTCCCAGCTTTAATGCACCTGTACTGTCTCCGCCTTCTAGATGGTAGCGGGGTGAACAGGTCGGGTGGCTGAGGTCCTTGATGATCTTCTTGGCCTTCCTGTGACACTGGGTGCTGTAGATGTCCTGGAGGGCAGGCAGTGTGCCCCCGGTGATGTGTTGGGCTTACCACACCACCCTCTGGAGAGCCTTGCGGTTGCGGACGGTGCAGTTGCTGTACCAGGCGGTGATACAGCCCTACAGGATGCTCTCAATGGTGCAGCTGTAGAAGTTTGTGAGGGTCTTAGGGGTTGCACCTTCTTCACCACACTGTCTGTGTA